GCAGGAGTGGCTGCTGCTGGCCTCAGTGCTTTGGCCCCAGGTTGGGAAAAGACTGAGGAGGAATGATTCTCAAACTCTGTCTCTCCCTCCCATCTCTCTCCAAGGCCAAAAGGAAGCTGGACCTGGAGGGCATCGGGAGGCCGGCGGTCCTGGAATTCCAGACTCCCAAGGGGAAGCTCATTAGAGTGGATGGCCTCCCCAGCCCTAAAAGTAAGTTTGCTGATGGGGCATCTGGGGGCAGACTCAGGAGACAGGGGTGGGGTGGGGTGGGCAGGGGCAGAGGGCAGCCGCCCTGCCCAAATCATCAGGAGGAATATTTGTCGCACACTTCCTGGTGTATACAACGGTTCCCGGTGTGTTCTCTCGCTGGGTCCTGCCAGGTAGGTAGGATCACCCCTCTTTTACTGATCAAACAACTTGAGACCCAGAGCTAGAGTGTCTTGCCCAAGGTCACACTGCTGGTAAGTGGAGCCCGGACGACCACCTGGTCTTGTCCTGCTTCTCTCACACTATACACTGCTCTCGGGTTCCAAACATGACGACCAGCGATTTGTTTGGGAACTTACCATTTTTGTTTGTATTTAATTCAGTCTGACTTTTTCTAAAAGAGAGAATCCAGCCCAGGGAGGAGCAGGGTCTTCCTCCCACCTGCAGACAGAGAGCTAACTAAGGGGGGCAAAGGGGAGTGAAGCTCGGATTCACCCAACCCGGGCCACCTCAGGCTGAGATCCAGAGGAGAGGTTTCCCGCCTCGATATTTGCAGTCAGTGCTCTGGTGAGAGTGGGAGTTTTCGCACCTGTGGTAGAGAGAACACTAATTTGGGGGACAGAAACCTAATGAAGAAGGGATGTGACTGGGTGGGAAGCATGAGGGTCAGGAATTTGGGGGTCCTGGCAGGGCTGTGCCCTGACCTGACCGGCCACTCCTCTTCTGTGAACCTTATGGTTGGCTCACCTGTGAAAGGAGGTACAGCTAGAGCAGGAATAGTAACAAGGTTTCCTTCCCAATTGATTGGTAGACGTGCCCAGAGCTCTTTCTCAAAGGATCCTACGTGCACCGGTTGAAAAAGCAGCCTGTGTGCCAAACACTTGTCCTCTATGTGTTAAGGGATTCTAAAGTCTCCTTCTAGAGCAGCGGTTCTCAACCTGTGGGCCACGACCCCTTGGGGGTCGAACGACCCTTTCACCGGGGTTGCCTAAGACCATCGGAAAACACATATATAATTACAATTGTTTTTGTGATTAATCACTAGCTTTAATTATGTTCAATCTGTAACAATGAAAATACATCCTGCATATCAGATATTTACATGATGATTCATAACAGTAGCAAAATTACAGTGATGAAGTAGCAACGAAAATAATTTTATGGTTGGGGGTCACCACAACATGAGGAACTGTATTAAAAGGTCGCAGCATTAGGAAGGTCGAGAACCACTGTTCTAGAGGAATCTGAGACTCTCTAAAACTCCGTTTCCTGGACTAGTTTTGACATCCACTTGCTATATGACTTGCAAGTCATTTTATTGCAAAAGTTCTCTTGTGGTTTAAGATGTTGCAGCTGAGATGTGGTGTCTTGTGACATCAGCTTCATTAAGAAAGGGACCTTTTCATGAACCTGCCCCATTCGATATTGTAGGACTGATTCCTCTCAGATAACCACTGGGCTGCACACGGAAAGAAAAGGCAAGCCTCTAAGAATGTTCTCAAGTCCGAACTGGTCATTCCTCCCTACCCTAATTCCAAATTCCTGACATAACTGGCGGGATAGAGTAATGGTTAAGAAGGAAGACTTGGAGCCAGGCTGCCTGGATTTATATCCCAGCTTTGCCACTTTCTAGCCGAGTGAGCTGAGCAAGTGACTTAACCTGTTTGTGCCTCAGTATTCTCATCTGTAAAATGGGGATGATTATACACCAAATTACACTTGGTTATACACTTGGTTTCTAGCCTTGACACTGCCCTTAACTGTGAGACCGTGAGCAAATCCCTTTCCCTCCGGAGGTATCAGGCTCCAGTTTGGACAATGGTAGTGAATCACCCCCTGCCTCACAGTGGAAAGTGGGTACTCATGTGAAGGGTGGTACTGAATGGGTCCAGGTCACTGGAGGAGGCGCCCCAGGCAGGCCCTCCCTGAGCAATGACCGGGCCCCTTTCCTCCTTAGCACCCAAGTCCCCCGGGGAGAAGACTCGGTACGACACATCACTGGGGCTGCTCACCAAGAAGTTCATTTACCTCCTGAGTGAGTCCAAGGATGGGGTCCTGGACTTGAACTGGGCTGCTGAGGTGCTGGATGTGCAGAAGCGGCGCATCTATGACATCACCAACGTGCTGGAGGGCATCCAGCTGATTCGCAAGAAGGCCAAGAACAACATCCAGTGGGTGTGAGTGCCTGGGCTGGGGCTGGTGGCACCAATGACTGCACGTGCTGGGGGTCGAGCCAGGAGCAATATCCAGTGGGTGTGAATGTCAGGGGTGGGGCTGAGAGCAGCATCCAATGGGCACAAGCGGCAGGGGTGGACCAAGAGCAATATCCAATAGGCTTATACGTTGTGGGCGGAGCCAGTGTATCTGAGAGCAGAGTGGAAGAACAGGTGTATATGCTGGAGCAATATTAGGAGTGCTGGCAGGCATAGGGTGGAGAATGCTTTCTAGGATGTGTAAAGGCCTTGGAGGACTGCATTCTCTTGAGTCAGGGATCCCAAGATTTCCCTCTTCTAGTTTAGGAAAGTCCCCAGGGACCTGAGAGTTAATAACCCAGACTCCTTCCAGCTCAGAGATATGAGAACTCCAGGCTCCTCTCCTCACTGCTACAAGGTCTTGAAGAGCAGACCTGCAGCCCCTGGCATGAACCCTAAGAGAACCCAGGCAGGGGGGTGAGGACTGAGGTCATTCTAGCTCCCTGCCATATGAGAGAGGCTGGGGCGAGGGTGGACAGAGTTGAAAGCCCTCCACAAGTGAGGTAATGCCCTGACTTGTTACTTTTCCCTAGCCCAACCCTCAAACATCACGGTTCAATTCCTAGCAGCCGCCTGGGAGCTAGACAGCGCTGCTGGTTTGCACAACCCAGGAGCACCCTTTGTAGACCATGAGAATGGCCTCATCCTGAGGCTCTACACCATCCGCACATCTGCAGCTCTGCGCAGCAGTACTCAGGTTGGGGTCCCTGGTTGTGCAATAAGACTGACACTGGGGGGCTGCTCTGTTCCCAGAGGCAGGGGAGCACTTGAAGACCCCACCCGGCCTGGGAAGCAGCAGCAGCTGGGACAGGAGCTGAAGGAGCTGATGAGTATGGAGCAGGCCTTGGACCAGCTCATCCAGAGCTGCTCTCTGAACTTCAAGCACCTGACTGAGGACAAGGCCAACAAGAAATATCCTCTTTGGTTGGGAGAAGGTTGTCAGGGGGCCGGGCCTGTTGCAAGCTCTTATGTCTATCCAGAGTTGATACAATACCTCCCTTGGGGTCTGGCATATCTGCTTTTTCCTTTCTGGGTGGCTTTTCTTCTTGACTCTGTTGAAGTTATTTACTCATAGTACAAGTAAGACAAGTACATTTCTTTAAATCTGCAAAAAGGAGGAAAGAAATAACAGCCACCATAACATTTGTTCTTTAAGCATACACAGATTGTGTATTATTTAAATACTAGAGGCCCGGTGCATGAAATTCATGCACTTGGGGGGGGGTGTCCCTCAGCCTGGCCTGCACGCTTTCTCAGTCCGGGAGCCCTTGGGGGATGGAGAGCGGGCCTAAGCCATCAGTCAGACATCCTTAGCACTACCATGGAGGCGGGAGAGTCTCCTGCCACTGCCGTAGCGCTCGCCAGCCATGAGCCCGGCTTCTGGCTGAGTGGCGCTCCCCCTGTGGGAGCACTGATCACCAGGGAGCAGCTCCTGCACTGAGCATCTGCCCCTGATGGTCAGTGCACAACATAGCAACTGGACGTTCCGATGTTCGGTCGATTTGCATATTAGCCTTTTATTATATAGGATAGTGTGTGACTGCTGTGCATAACACTTTATATCCTGCTTTTTTCCCCTTAGTATACTACCATAGACAGTTTTTATCAATTACAAATCCCTCCTAACTATGTGGTAGATCCACATGAAATTGTTGATATTGAACCATTTTTTATCTACAAAAACAGCAATCTCATGTGGTTTAACCTCATATTTAAAATAGTTTGTTTGAGAATATCCTACTCAGATTACACTCTGGTTTGTTGATAAGGCCTAAAATCGACATTTAGATCTATTCTAGATTTCTGCTCCTATGAAGCAACAAAATGATGAATGCCTTTGCATATAGAACATTGTCCTATTTTTTTAAAACTTATTTCCCTGGGTCAGATTCCTAGATTTGAAATGATGAGGTCACAGAGTATGGACTTTGCTAAGGCCTTTCATACATTCTCCCCAAATAGTTTCACCATCTAATTGGTTTTTGGATATGGCTTTGTATTTTCGGACAGATGCTAGGCATTGTGAAAATTTTAAATAAATAAGAACATCTCCTTACTGAAAACCAGCAAGTGCAATAAAGACAGGATTATAAAGGGGGAAAAAATACATATCTTCCTGCGCTCTCTAGTTTGAGAGATGAAGCCTGTTATATAAAACCTGATAAAAGGCAGCATTTAAAAAAAATGATTTATATCCTCATTTGCTTCCTAAAGGGATCCAAGGTAACTTATGATATTAAAAGAACAGGTTACAGTTTGGGGTTACTTCTTGGGGTTATATAAGGAGTGAGAAAAAAATGTTCAGAGGTTTAGGAGAAGTGGATCGGATCCCTGCCTGGTGGGCTGGGGTGTGAATTTTGACTTCCTTAACTCTCCTGCCCCCTACACTGGCCTATGTGACTTACCAGGACATCCGTGCTATCGGCACCTTTAAGGAACAGACAGTGATCGCTGTCAAGGCCCCTCCGCAGACAAGACTGGAAGTGCCCGACAGGAATGAGGTGAGAGGGGAAGTATTTGGTGGCGAGCAGGGTGAGGAGGGTGCCGGGAAGCTCTGCAGTCTCTGTCCCAGGCACTGCTCAGCCCCAAGCTACCCCAGTCCGTGCTGGTACCCACGGCAGGATTGGTGGTCTCTGAACTGGGGCAGAAATGACAGAAGCTGGAAAGGGCAACAGATTCTGACCTGAGAAAAACCTGTTTCTGGTTTCTCTCTGCATCCCACCAGCCCCTGTGGTTCTGCACACATGCACGTGTGCCCACACACAGCAGCATTAGTACTCACAGTAATCCTTTCATGCCAACCATGCTGTCCTGGATTAAAAGACCCTGGATTAAAGACCAAAATCATTATTTTTTTAAATTGATTTTAGAGAGAGAGGAAGGGAGAGAGAAACATCAATGAGAGAGAGAGAAATAATGATCTGCTGCCTCCTGCATGCTCCCATGTGCCCTGACTGAAATTGAACCAGTGACCTCTCAGTGCACCGATGATGCTCAACCAACTGAGCCAGGGGCAGGGACCAAAATTCTTGACACTCCCCAGGACGCCCTCTCTGCTCTGACTCTGCCAACCTCCTCTCCCATGCTGCTCCTCTTCTCTGTCTTTGCTTCAGCCACCCACCTGCCTGCAGTTTCCCCACCACACTAAGTTCGTCCCCAGTGCAGGACCTTCACACATGCTGTTCCCTCCAGCTGAGATGCTCTTCCCTCTCTCTGCCTGGTTTACTGCTATTGATACCTACACGTCTCAACTGGAGCATCATCTCCACCAGGAAGCCTTCCCTGATCACCCCCAGACTTCATAACCAATATCTTGGTGTTTACATGACTATGTTCTGCTTCGTCCATTAGAGTATAAACTCCACAAAAGTACATTCCTCTCATGTGGGTTATTTCTGAGCTATATAAGGAGTGAGAAACGTCCAACTCATAGCCTGATAAAGGCTCAAGAAGTAATTTGTTTAATGGAAGAACTTTAAGATAAATAAGGCCCTGCCCACCATCTCAGTGGAGCTCAGAACCTAGAGAGGACAAGACCCAAGCAAGCAGGGATGCTGTGATTTATAGATGGAAGATGTGCTTTGAGGGCCAGGAGAAAGGAGAGTTGGAGGATGCACCCATAGGTGGTGACAGTTAAACTGAGTCCTAAAGAATGAATAGGATTTTTTGTTAAACATTAATATTTTAAGAAAAACTATTTTAAATATGTTACATGCAATAAACATTAATATTTCAAGAAAAAAATATTTTAAAAGGATTTTGTTTTTAAACTGTCTTATTTACTTACTTATATGTAGTTGTATACAAATATTGTGTTAGATTCAGGTGTACAATATAATGACTCCACAGTGGTATACCTTACAATGTGATCACCACACTAGGTTTATTAATCACCTGTCGAACTTATCTCAGTGTTATCGAGCAGGATGTTTGCCGGGTGGAGTAGGGGAAGGAGGGTGCTGCAGGAATGGCGGGTGTGTAGTCAGCTGTGGCTTAGGCTGCCGGCGTGTGGTGGACAAGAGGCAGGGGTGGGAAAGCCAGGTATCAGGACTCATGGTTTACGGGGAACAGAAAGAGAATTCCAATTGGCTTCCGTGCGAGGGGAGAGGGGAGGTCAGTGACGGATCCAGGGGGAGTGTGGATTGCAGGCAAGGCTGGACCCAGGGGCTCACATTATGACTCCAAGTTCACTTCATGCTCCTCCTCTCACTGTGCCATTCTCTGCTGACTCAGTTCCCAGGTGGGCTCTCCCCTTGCAGCAGAGATCGTGTTCATAATACCAGCTCAGCAAGCCCATGCGAAGGGAGCTTCCATTTCCAGGTCCTGGGCCTGATGCTGGGTGGACTGAGCTGAGTCACGTGCCATCCTGCACAGTCACTGTCACTTTCTCATCCTGCACCCCAGGCTCGCCCATTGGAGCTGGGGCAGGGTGCTGCCTCCCGCTCCCTCCTGACGCGAGTGGAGGGAGAGTGATTTCCCAGAAAAAATCCAGGCTTTCTCCCTAAGGGAAGAGGCCTGGGGGCCAGGCAGGCAGAAGCAGCAGATGTTGACCACAGGCCTCAGGGCCCAGCTCAGGAGATGAGCTTGCTCACATGTGTCCATCCGTATATGCTGACCCATGAGTAAGTGCGCAGCTGCCCAGAGCCATGACCTGGCTTCTCTTCCTCCTCCAGGAAAACCTGCAGATATATCTGAAGAGCACGCAGGGGCCCATCGAAGTCTACTTGTGCCCGGAGGAGATGCAGGAACCAGACAGCCCTGCCAAAGAGCCTGTCTCCTCCACGCCCACCCTCAGCCCCACTCCTGACTCGGCCCAGCCCTGTAGCAGCACCAACCCTGGGATCCTGGAACCCACGGCATCCCCAGGTAGGGCCCCCTGTCCAGAGGAACAGAAGGTGGGGAGTGCAGCTGGCCTCGGTTTCCTCTTCCACATCAACATTTGTTGGGTATCGACCTGCCACCCAGCGGCCGGGGTGTAGTCCTCCCGCACACGTGTGTGCATGCACTCTACACTCTAAAGCAGTGATGGCGAGCCTCTGACACGCGAACTCATTTTCTTTGGTTGATTTTTCTTTGTCTAATGGCATTTAAATATCAAAAATATAAGTCTTTGTTTTACTATGGTTGCAAAGATCAAAAAATTTCTATATGTGACATGGCACCAGAGTTAAGTTAGGGTTTTTCAAAATGCTGACACGCCGAGCTCAAAAGGTTCGCCATCGCTGCTCTAAAGCATTCACTGCTCATTAGCTGGCTGAGCCCTGCTTCAGGGCAGAGGGGCTTGGGTTTGAATCCCAGCTCCTCCACTTACCCAGCCATGTGACCTTGGACAAGTTATTTGACCTCTCTCTGCCTCAATCTCCTCATCTGTAAGTTGGGCTTAGTAATTAATAGTATCTACTTCATAGGTCATTGTGAAAATTAAATGAGTTAATAAATCTAAAGCACTTAGAGCTATGCCTAGCAATAAAAGATGGCTGTTATTATCATTGTTACTGCCACTGCCACTAGTACTGCTGCTTCTGTGACAGCTACTAACAGCAAAGCCCCGGCACTCAATGAGCCCACAGTAAGTGGAAACTATAGGTTTTATAAGGAAAGCTCAACATGTTATTGGGCGAGAATATCTAAGGTTCATTGAACCACGGCTGTATCAGATACACCCATTCTTACATTATCCTTGCAGCAGTTCTTGAGGTAGGTTTTATTATTCCCAGTTTAGAGATAATAAGCTGAGGCAGAGAGGAGACGTGACTTGCCCCAGGCCTCCCAGCGGGGAGACAACAGAGCTGTGTCTTTGAACCTTAGCCTCCACATTCCTAGGCCAGTGCTGTCTCCACACGGCACAGAACAGATCAGGGCAGGGGATCACGGCTCAGCCCTGGCTGGGATGTGGACAGGACAGCGAACAGCTGCCTACACGTGGCAGGAAGTAGTAGGAGGCAGCTGCCAGGGAGGAAAGAGGTAGGAGAGGCCCCTGCGGGCTTCCCAGGGAGGATGGGAGTCCGGAAGGAGTAGAAATGGGAACCGGTGAAGGCCCCGCCACTAGAAGGGTTTGTTAGAGAGTTATAGGGGGGGAAAGAAAGTGACTGACAGAGACCGTAAGTGCCCTGCAAAGCCTAACATACTACCAGCCCTTTACAGAAGCTTGCTGACCCTGATCTAACACAACCCTTCATTTTACATACAAAACTGAAGCCCAGAGAGGGCCGGTGACTTCCCTAAGGTCACACAGCACGTTGGTGGTAGAACTTGGGCAATAACCCAGACTCCCAGCTCTACTCTAGTGATCTCTCCTGAGTCCTGGCCTGGCCCGGGGACCAGGGCTTCTCCCTGCACCAGCCATCTGTCCCTCCGGGCACCTCCCAGTGCCTATCTCCAACTCCAGACCTGTGCCCCACCCTGTGCTCCCTCCTGCCTCGTCTGCCTTCTCACTCCACTGTCAACAAGTGCACAGCTGTCCAAAGTTAAAACTACTTTCACTTCATTGTCCCCTGAGACCTTGGGCAGAGGTGGGGGACCATCTGACATAAGCAAGGGCAAGGTTTTCAGCTCAGTTGTACAGATTAACAGCCTGAGGCCCAAAAGGAGCCGTGGGTGGTGGGGACCGCCCAGAAGCCAGCTCTGGGCCAGGGCCAGGGCCGTGACTGTCCCTCTCCACATTTCCACGTGGCCTCTCAGTGTTCTCCCTGCTGAGGGAGCAGGAGGAGCTTCCTGGACGGTGTACACCTGTGGAGTGTGTGTGCCAGGAGCGGGGATAGTGCGGGGGGAGGAGGGCAGGTGCTGGAGCTGGTGCCGGGAAGGGAGGGTGTCCCTGGGCCACGAGGCGTGGGGCAGGGTGGGAGAGAAGAGAAGCCTACACAGTCATCCGGAGAACCGGAGGGCTGTTCTTGTGCTCTGAGGTCTGACCAGAGGCTCCTGGGCCCGGGGGCCAGTCCTAACCCTGTCTGTTTGTCTCCAGTGCCATCGCTGACTTCCCAGCAGGCCCTGCTGCCGCCACCGTCCCTGGTCCCTCTGGAGGCCACGGACAGCATGCTGGAGCTGCCGCAGCCCCTTCTGCAGCAGACCGAGGACCAGTTCCTGACCGACAGCTCCCCTCTCATCAGCTTCTCTCCGCCCTTGGACCAAGATGACTACCTGTGGGGCCTGGATGGGGGTGAGGGCATCAGCGACCTCTTCGACTCCTATGACTTTGGGGACCTGCTGATTAACTGAGTGACCCTGCCTGCCCCCAGCTGCTCCGCCACTGTCTCTACCTCCTCACGGGCAGACTGACAGGCCCTCTGCCTGCAGGGGGACCTTGGACACAGATGCCACCCTTAGGGCACGGGGTCTCCTCTCCTTCCTGCCCCCGCGTCCTGCCAGCCGAAGCTGCCGGGGGGTTTGTGGAGGGTACGGGTGAGGATCGTATCAGGGGTGGGGTCCTGTCCTTCCTAGTGGAAGCTGGGCCTGGGAAGGCCTGTTCAGTCTTCTGACCTCTGACCTCTAATGTGAAGGGGCCACAGATGAGGTGACCAGGTCCAGGGAAAGGCCCTGCCACTGCCTTCTGGGGGATAATTCGGACCCTCAGTGTATCGCAGAGCACTTACTGCCTTTGTATTTATTTCAGGTTGAGTTTTGTTTGCGTGTCTTCCCTGGGTTTTAGCAGGGACAGCGTTCTGGTTCCAGTAAGACCTCCGACAGGCCAGCACGGTCTGCTGTGCCCGGCACCTGGGCTCCCAGGGACGCAGGCCAGCTCCCTGGCCGCCCCGCCGCGTGGGGGCGGGGCCCCTGAGCGCCTGTCCAGGCTTCTGGACATCACTGCACTTCGGCTCCTCATTCTAGATGGTTCCAGGGAGCCGTCCCAGCATGGGTGGCACTGGAGCTCCCGAGGAGACCGGAATAGCCAGCTCAGGAGCCTCCCTCCCTGTGGAATCCCTATTTCCCTGCCTGAGAATGTAAAAGTGATCCTCGAGGGAGACGGCAGGGTGCTCCTGAGGAAGAGGGACAGGGTGTGGGGCAGCGCGGTGGCTGCTGCAGGCCCCTCCTCCGTTTTGGCCTCTCGCTGGGACTGTGTTACATGGAGGACCGGGAGGCAGAGGCCGCACGTGGAGGAGAAGCGTGAGATGAAGACAGGGAACCGCCAGCACACACTCCTCTAGCTGCAGGCGTCCCTCTCCCTTCCCTGGAAGGATTTTGGTTTTTGTTGTTGTTTTTTCTTTGTTGAAGGGGTGATTCTTTAAGGACCCCTCTGCCCCTCAGCTCTCACACAAACCCCCAGGGGACAGAGGTGACCAGGGCTGGATGGCATGTTGGCTCCTTTTGTCACAGGAATGCAGAAGGGGTGGGGGTGGGGGGTCTTCGTTGCAACCAGACTTAGCAGCTGATGGGGGAGAGGGCTTGTGTTACCTCTTCAGACCTGGGGTTCTGAGGTCTTTATCCCTCACCCTGTCCCCCCACCCGACCTGGGCTGAACCGAGGGAGGCTGTGCCTTCTGGAGGGAGGCAGCAGGGGCCGTGGTCTGAGGCCTATACCCCCCACCCTCAGGGAGCTAGGTTTACTTAGGGTCTCAGATGGGTAGCACTTTTTTTTATGTTTGTAGCATTAAGTTGGTTTAAAATATGAATTTGGCTTCCAGGGATGGCTCCTGACCTGGCCGACGGGCATCTGAAGTTTGGGAGGTGGGCTTCTCTGGGGCTGGGGTCCCAGGTGAGCTGATGCCCAGCTGGGGACAGTTGTGCCTCGTCATTTGCAGGTCAGAGGTGCCCGGTTCTAGAATTTTGTAGGATTTACAGAAATGCTTTTGGCCTCCCGCCTCCACAGGTCCGCAGGGCTCTCGCCAGAAGCCTGTTTTGAAGCCCAGCGAGGCAGGGCCACTTTGGCCCGTGCGGGAGAAGGGCGCGCTGCACGGGATCTGGTTTGGGGCATGTGGGGCTGGCGGTGGCGTTGCTGTTCTGCGTTCTTTGCTGGGCTGCTGTCCAGCCACTCACCATCTCTGAGGGCAGGGATGTTGGACTTCCCTGCCTTGGGCTCTATCTAGACCTTCCTCCTGGAATTAAACCAGAGAAAAGGAAGGAGAGGTCTGGAGGACCCACCGGGAATGAGTTTAAGGGTGAGGTCTGGCCGGAACTCAGGCTCATTCTCCAGATGCCCAGCCATAGGGTTGGACAGAGGGGCTGCCCCTTGGGTGCATGGCCTGTATTCTGGCAGCTGCCCTGCCCTCTCCTATGTTGTCCCTGCCTGGCCCACCAAGGCTGATCCTCAGGCTCTGGGTAGGATACAAGCTCGAGCCTCTTTCTTACTAGAGACACTTGGAAACCTCCCAAGTTCACTCAAGTGCTTTTAGGACACATTTTGAGGAGTATTTCCTTGAGATGCCAGGTAAACTTTAAAACGAGGACAGAAGGAAAACCAGGTTCTTTCTTTTCTTTTTTTTAATATATTTTATTGATTTTTTACAGAGAGGAAGGGAGAGGGATAGAGAGCTAGAAACATCGATGAGAGAGAAACATCGATCAGCCGTCTCCTGCACACTCCCCACTGGGGATGTGCCCTCAACCACGGTACATGCCCTTGACCGGAATCGAACCTGGGACCCTTGAGTCCGTTGACCGGAATCGACCCTGGGACCCTTGAGTCCGCAGGCCGATGCTCTATCCACTGAGCCAAACCAGTTAGGGCAAAAACCAGGCTATTTCTAAGGTACGTTATTTCTGCCAGGAAGTTCCCCAGCCCCTAAGTCACCTGTGTCCTCGGGGCATCAAGGGCTCAGGGCTCCAGGGAACCCCGTCGTCTTAGGTTGTTGAGTAGAGTCAGCGACTCTTAAGAGATTTCTTCAGACAGGGACATGCTCCCGTGCCCCTTCTCGCTGGAAGTGTTAGCTAGACCAAAGTGGTTTCCCTTCTCACTGCAGTGCTGTCTGCCCCCCGCGGCTGCGGGGAGGAAGGGGGCTGGTGAAGCTCTAACGCTGGTCCTGGGATGGTTTGGGCTTTATTTCCTCCCCAGGCGTTCTCAGCATCAGTTCTGCACAGGGTTTAGAGTTTTTAGTGAGAGTTTGGATGTCCCCGCGTCCGAGCAGCGTGTGGCTTAGTGCATTTGAAGTGAAAGCCTTTTGGGGTTGTTTGCAAGTAGCTTTCTGGTTCTCGTCATTATGTCCCGAGGTCCCCGCCTCCTTGTGGGACCCTGTTCTCCCAGGGGGGCCCTCAGTCACCAGAAGCCCGGCCAGCCCGGGTGCGGGAAGAAGCCTTGGATGCGCCACATGCATCTCGAGGGTGAGCACACCCGAGGGGCCTGTTCTCGTGGTGGGACCCTACGGGCCGCTTCCCTCCGGCCTGGTTTCGCCCTGGGCCCCACTTTGAGGAGGACCGTGTAAACCTCTGTGAATTGTGATCATCGAGCATTAAACAGCAACTCCGGGCATCTTGGCTCTGTTGTGCTTTCTGAAGGTCGTTACCCATGTGGGTCGGGTCCCCCCAAGTCAGGCACGGGGGCTGTTCTGATCAAGCCTCCTGTTTCCACACGGGCTTATTCCCATGCCTGAAACCTCACCGTTAAGACCCTGAAAAGGTGGCAGCACCCAGATCTAAAAAGCGAGCGCCTGCCTGGCTCCGCCTCCACCACCTCTCGCCTGGGCCATTTCAATAGCGTCCTTAATATCCTCTCTGCTACCCACCCCCTGTCGCATCCTCCCTAGCAGTGTTTTTGTTTTGTTTTTTGTTAATCCTCACCCGAGGACATTTGTTCCATTGCTTTTTAGACAGAGTGGAAGGGAAGGGGAGAGAGAAACATCGATGTGAGAGAGACACACTGATTGGGTGCCTCCTGCACACACCCCTGTTGGGGTCAGGGATTGAGCCTACAGCCGAGGTCTGTGCCCTTG